ACCCTATGATTCCATGATTCTAACACTCAGACCACACTGGCTGTCATCATGTACACTAAAATGTAACAAACTCACCCATGGGGGGCAGGAAAAACTCAACACTCCTGTGAGTCCACAGTTATAACATTTTGATTCCACTTTAACTGTCCTGGCAATATCCTATAGACCAGGGGTCGGAAACCTACGGCCCTTGGGCCGGTTCCAGCCCAGGTCACTGGACTTATGGCCCAGGCAGACCCCTGCCGCTGCCACCGCCGTGCGTTTTCGTCTGGCGGAGAGGAGGACTTCGGGGGACCGACCCATGGCTATAGACTGTGGAGAGGTATTTGTAATTCTCAGCCAGAGATCCCAGGGTTCCTTTCAATGTTGCAATGAGTTAAAGTGGTCTAGTACTATAATTATGTTTTTTTAAAGCCCATGTACCCCACCCACACACACTATTAAACAATGCAGGTAGCCTGCAACCTATTCAAAAGTTGAAAATCCTTTTTGGAAGGATTCCAGGAGAAACAATTGATCTGGAGGGGGCAGAAAAGGGGAATTTCTGGGAGTCTGGATGGTAGTGGTGGTGGTGTGGTGTCAAGGGGTACTAAAACAGCCTTGTGGGATGCACTTGAACTCTCTCTCTCACACACACACACACACATATACACACACAAAGCACTGTGTTCACACGAGAGAGTCAATCATCCTTTCGGTTTCTGATATTCAGGGGCAGAGTACTGTTACCCATGTAACCAAAGCAAAACCAAATGAAAGATACCAGGATTTTGTGGGTTTTTCAGGCTGTGCGGCTGTGTTCTAAAAGAATGTATTCCTGACATTTCATCTGCATCTCTGGCTGGCAAAGATGCCAGCCACAGATGCAGGTGAAACATCAGGAATACATTCTTCTAGAACACAGCCTCACAGCCTGAAAAACCCACAAAAACCTATGGATGCCAGCTGGGAAAGCCTTCAAAAGATATCAGGCTAAGGAGAACCTGAGTGTTTGAAATAGTACAAACAAATCTTGCGGACAGGGGAAGTACAGGATTGAGGGAGTTCTCACTATTTTCCTATGCAGTGAATGTGCTTCCCTGGCCACAAACTGATGACAAACTGCTGGGGGATGTAAGGGGGAAATGGGACGGGATGGAGATGGAATGGAGTGACTGGAATCACGTAGACGCAGGACTACACATTACAACATTTTGTTGGAGTGCAGGTCCCACACAAACTGTTTGCATTTGTCCTCAGAGCTCTTTGAAGCAAAACAGCAACTAAGCAGCCTCCAGCTGGCACTTATCTGTTAACAGACCTTGACTCACTCAAGTGCCTGATCTTGGGTGCCATTTGCCCTTGTAAAACTGAACCTTGTGATTGTTTGATTTAGGAGACCTGGGATGCTTTTTGTTTGATCAACTCACTGGCTACACTTCAAAAAAAAAAAAAAAAAAAAAAAGTAAACAAGCCTCAAGACTTAATCAGTTCAAGAAATCTTCTTCTTTTTTAACCTCCCTATTGCTTTAATCTTCCTTGATGGCCTGCATCTTGATATGGATTAAACTCTCCATTGTGTGGGCAGGGGAGGGAAAGGGGAAGCCAGCATGAAGCCTATTCATTACTTAACTCCCTTAAGACATCTGCTGCCCCTGGGTCCAAAGATCTCAGTGTTAACCATCTAGTCAAATATACTCATGGCTCTGCTTAATCGCTAGCCTTCGTGCCACATGACTCTTGGTTGTAATTGCCGCCACAGACTAACTCAATTCTTGCCACGACCCCTTCTAACTGCAAATGATAAACTACTGTATATGTCCATGCATTAATCTAGAAATTTTTGTCAAAAATTGTCCCAGAAAACCTGGGTTGACTTATCTATGTGTCAATGTAATAATCTAGCAGGTAGAAAGCATTTGGACTATGTTATTACGGGGTATGATATATTTGTAATATGTTCTGCGATAGCTTCAATTCTGAATGAGAAAATAATTTTGAACTTAAAAGTCTTTACAGAATTGGTTAAAATAAGATAGTAGTACTTAGGGAATCAAATAGAATGAAAGGGAATCAAATAGAAGGATTACAGTAAAAGGTATGGTGTATTGTAAATTAGAGACTACCAAAGTCAGGAAAGAAAATAACGTGTGCAGAGGAGTGATTGTTTGTTTGATTTGTCTGTTTGCTTTTATATTGAATGGTACATTTGTGTTGTAAATAAATAAAAATATATTTTAATAATAATAATAATAATAAAGGAACCAGCCCCTACTCTTGAGTATGTTTGACAGCTTTTCTGGGTTAAAATCAGGAAAAGTTATCACATTAACGTTAAAGGCTATGATCACTGTGAACATAGTCACCATCTTCTTTTCTTTTTCTTTTTATCCTTTTTGACCTGTGCATGTTTTTCCTAGTGCACCTGTACCTCTCCCACACATTTATCATAGTTCCCTCCTCATCCATCCAGCCTTGGGGTGAGCACAAAGAGTTATGGCTGGCAAAATTTTGTAAATTCTTTGGCATCTTTTCCCCTTGCTTCATCCTTCAGATCCTTTGTTACATGCCCCTCAATGTATCCACAGGTCATATCCAAATCCATAATTTTATCCATAACACCTCCCCTCAACTTATACATGAGTTCAACTTACAGTCAAGTGTATACGGTATATAAAGCAATGCTACCTGCAACTAGAGATGTAAATCCTTGATTACAGTTGGCCCTCTACATTTGCAGCTTTGACTTTTGTGGATTTGATTTTTGGTGGTTTTGATTAATATGTTCTCTCTAGGAATCTCTAGGTCCTCCAGTGCAACTCTGCCAGAGGTTGATATAGAGTTGTACTGGAGAACCTAGAAGTTCTAAGAGAAAACACTTCTCTACACATTTGTAGGTCCTTCAGCATGAGTCTATGATCAAATTCTGGCAGATGTTGGCCATACAGTTGCACTGGAGGACCTGGAGATTCCCAGAGAGGTGTTCTCTTAGGTAAAAAGAATAGTCTTTTTTTATTTGCAGTTTTTCCACATTCACAGGGTTCCCTCACCCCTAACCCCAGCAAACGTGGAGGGAACACTGCAGGGAAGAATAATTACAGTAGTTTTCTCCTTGCTGTGGGGGAAAATTAGTATTCCTCCACAGTATTCTCCCTGTATTCAACCATATTGTTACTTTGCAGATGAATTATTCTGTGTAGAAAAACACAAGCTTTTGGGTGCAAAACTGCTTTCTTGCTGCAGAAAACAGTTTTTTGTAAGGGAAAACCCCACATGTTTTCCTATACTGAACAATTTATCTACAACAGTTTGGAACATTCAAACATAGAAAATTGCACAAAATTCTCAGTGGTCTGTTTTTTTCTTGATTGTTGGAAATCCTGTTTTTAACCTGGGAATGAATAATAATAAACATTATTTCCATCCCCTACCCACCACCACAATGAACAAATCCTGAAAAACCTATAGGCTTTGCCAAGAAACAGAGGGAGTCAAATATGTTTATCCAGAATATAAACGCTTGAGAAATGTGAGCGATAGCAGTGCATCTCTCAAGCAGAGTGATCAAATTGGCAAGGCAGAAGCTGAACAACAACCATTTCAATGCCCATCCAACCGCGCAGGGTCTAACAGAGAAAACAAATAAGCTTAATCTTCTCTGTGAAGCATATCAAAGTAGCGTTAATTACAAATTACTTGTGCATAGTCAAACCCATGGTCAATAATATGTTGGTCAATAATATGGGGGAGAGAGAGGGAAGAAGAAGAAAATGCAAGTAATACAGAATGAAAGAAGGTGTGGTCAAACACACAAACAAGAAGTAACTACAAGTACATGCTATGCCTAAACTCCTATAAAGTAACTTGCAAACTAGCAGTTAGTGAATATAGGCATGCAAAGGCACAGGCACAGATCACCATGCCATATCATCAGATAAACTTCACATGTGTACATGCGCACACATCACCCTACTCGTCTAGGAATAATCATGCATTTCCTACAAGTGCAAAATGTGGGGAAGACATACATACATCAAGTGTGTGTACATACCTATCTCTTAATCCTGATACACACACAAGGATGCACCTGATACAACAAGATATACCTAGTACATGTCTTTAAAGACACTTGTATATGCACACATATTGGTCAGGCACATACAGTGTATTTTGCTGAGTGGGGACCAGATTAAAGGGATGTACACATTTTGTAAAATGTGGTTCTACCATCAGGGTTACAGTGTAGATCAGGAATGAAGCTTTGACTCTTTAGCTTGTTTGGCCTACAACTTCCACAAGCCCTGCCCAACATTGTCAGTGATAAGAAATTGTTGGAATTGTAGTCCAAACCTTCTGTTGAATTAATCACTTGGAAAGTGATAGTCTCTTTCACTGGGAGTTTTTAAACAAAGGTTAGACAAATATCCATCTCCCAGGGATGTTTTAGTTGTGGATTCCTGCACTGGCAGGATGTTGGATTTCATGACCTTTAGGGTCCTTTCCAAATTCTATGACATCAAAAAGTTTCTCACTTCTGATGTAAATAAAAGCTGGAAGATGAATGGGGATAGGAACAAGGTGAAAATAATAATAATAATAAAAAGCATGTTAATCAATGAGTGTGTCAGCCTTAGAGCAGTAACAATGATATCATCTGCCCATGGGTCCATTTTTTCTTTCCTGGATTCCTTAGCATGAGCTAATATGAAGGAGCTTTTACATCTGAACGTTTTTTTTGTGATGATTAGCTCCAGTTCTAGGAAGCCGAGACAGTCTGTTATCTTGTCTGGGCTAATCCATTGAAGCAGGCAAGGAAACGCTTCCACTTAATGATGAGGAACTCAGAGACCAGCCTGATCTTCTCTGCTGTCATTGTAATTATTAGTATCATGTGCCTTCAAGTCATTCCTGATTTCCTGGGGCAAACCTGTTATGGGGTTTTCTTGGCAAGATTTGTTCAGAGGAGGTTTGTCATTCCCTTCCCCTTAGGCTGAGAGAGAGTGACTCGCCAACTGGGTTTCCATGCTGAGCAGGGATTTGAAACCTGGTCTCCTGGATTTCTAGTCCAAAATTCAAACCACTGTACCATACTGATTCCTAAGATCTTCTCTGTCTGCATCCCTTGGGTGGTGGGGAGTCAATCAGTTTTAATGCTTCAGACTCCCTACTTCAAGGAAGTGGGAGTTAATGCTTAAAAATAAATTTAACAAAGAGATTTGTAGCACCATAATGACTATCACACTTTCTGTTACTGACTTGATCAGAAGCGTAGAGCATTGCTTTGGTTAGGAGGTCATTATATACATGCTTGAGTGGGAGGGATTAAATCAGTAGAGTGATTACAAAAAGTGCAAATATTGATCATTCCCTACAACAAACAATTGGGTGGTGACATTATCTTGTATTGATGAGCTGATTGACTCATTGGATGTGATAAAAATCCTAAACCTCTTGATGAATCGTTGCTCAGATGTTTAGCACTGAAATCTGCCTTTTATTTAAGAATGGCCATCCTGAGGTTGCAGACAGAGTGACTTAGGAGACATAAACATTCTCTCACTGATTTGTGCATTTTGCGATTTCTGATGCCAGATTTGCATCTATTTTTTAATACTGGGCTGAAGATGAACTAATGGTTAATTTGGATTCTTTTATATGGTTTATTTCCAAGTAAGTATATGTTGGATTGTCCAGACTTCGGCAAAGTTACTTTTTGGGCTACAGCTTGCAGAATTCCCCAGAGAGCATGGCCACTGGCTAAATTGGCTAGAGAATTCTATGAGTTATAGTATCTCTTCCAAACTCTGTAATGGCAGTCAGACATATAGTGAGGAATCTCTGGAGGTTAGGTAGTGGTTAAGCTTGGCCTTGAAACCCACCCACTGGATGACCTCGGGTAAGTCACATGCTCTCAGCCACAGGAGAAGGCAATGGCAAACCTCCTCTGAACAAATCTTGCCAAGAAAATCCCATGATAGGGTCACCCTAAAATGGAAATGACTTAAAGGCACACAACAACAACAGTAACTAGAATACTGTGGACCTTTCCTGTCCACTGTGTGAAGAAGAAAATTTATGGTCTTTTTGGGAGAAAAGCAGGGTACAACATAATAAATAAGGCTACGTTAGGGGGCTGCATTAATCCACCAGGCTACCTGCTAATCCTGAAAAATCTAAATAAAAAAGACGGATCTCTTTCGGCAGGCCTTTCCTGATTAGATCATAGAATCATAGACTCATAGAGTTGGAAGAGACCACAAGGGCCATCCAGTCCAACCCCCTGCCATGCAGGAACTCCCAATCAAAGCATCCCCGACAGATGGCCATCCAGCTTCTGTTTAAATCTATAACATACTGGCAGATCCCAGCCTTAGGAGCTGTGCCTCTCTACGATTTCAGTTTCTGGTTTTGCCTACTGCTTTTGTTTGTTTGTAGTCATTTCAATTATTCTATTTCATTTTTCAGATTTAGGTTATGATTTTTAATGGATGTTCAGTTTAATACTTTTTAATGGGGGAGGATGGGGTTTGGGGGTTTTTAGTCTGTATTTTGATGTAATTTAACTGTTGTAAGCCACCCCGATTGGTTTTAACAGAGGGCCAGGGTATAAATAAAATTATTATTATTATTATTATTATTATTATTATTATTATTATTATTATTATTATTATTATTATTATTATTATATTGCCCTCAAATGACCTCTGGGGACATGGTAGGCATTTGTACCATGCTTTTTTCCCCCTCACCTCACTCTGGGTCATTTTAGGCTCAAAAGACACCTTTTTTTTTAGTAAAAGAAGTGAATCAAAATTACTTCCTGTTCAATTCCTGTTTCAAAAAAGATTCTTGCAATGTAGAGATGTGGGCAATACAGTCTCTTAGGGTTCCATTTTGAGACCAATACTTTCTAAGTTATTCTTAAATGATCTGGTGTTAGTGGGGAAGTGGCTGCGTTTGCTGGTGACCCAGAATAATTTATGTTGTCAGAACAAATCTGAAGAGCTGCGAAAGGACCTTTCCAGACTAGGAATATAGGCATACAAATGGAATTCAGCGCAAGCTGGGCATGTTTAGCTTGTGAAGAGAAGATCTGAGATGTGATAGGATAACCATATTTAAATATCTAAAGAGACTGCATGCAGATTATGGTGCAGGCTTGTTTTCTGCTGCTCCAGAGACCAAAACTTGAACAAATAGATCCAAAATGCAAGGGAGAAAAAGATTTCATCTAAACATCAGGATGAACATCTTACTGTAAAAGCTGTTGTGTAGCAGAATAGATTTTCTTGGAGGGTGATGGACCCACCTTCTTTGGAGATTGGATCGCCATATTTCAGGAGTGCTTTAGTTGCGTATTACTGCATGGCAGGGGTTGGACTACATGGATCTTGAAGTCTCTTCCAACTATGATTGTAAAGCTAATCAGGAACTCAAATCAAGATCTCATACATTTCTGTCTATTCTGTCTACTGTCACTACTGTCTTTGTATCATATTTCTGATTACATAATATGTACCTAACGCCACCATTGCAATGTCAGGTTTAAGAGAGGCATTCCCTACATTTCCTTGCCCATTCTTTCTGGTTCAGGAAATGAAGTGTGTTGTTGTTCAATGGAGTTTTTTATGCCTGTCTAGTCTGTATAATTGGATAAGCCCCCCAGGGTTTCAAGAAGAATCCTGATAGGTAGAATCAACACTTCCTTGGCCATGTCTTATTTATAAGCAGAAGCAATTAGAATAATGGTCTACTTTTCTCAGATAATGTAGAGTGAACCTCGACAATGATGATGTCAATGATGACTTGCCTTTTTATCCCACCATGAGTCAATAATATCATTAAAAACAAAAATGGTAAAACATTAAAATAATTCAGATAATCAGAGTATTGCCAGGCTGTGAGAGGCCAGTTTTCTTTCTCCATATATGTGCACAGCCATGGTGTGTATGTGTGTTAAAACCTAAGCAGGTGCATACATTTGTAGGGACAATTGTCCCAGGAGAGACTCCTTTTAGTAGATTGACTTCTAATACGAGAACAGTGGAAAAAGCAGGTGAGCAGCAGACATACTAAGTGTATTATAAACTTAAAGAAGCAGAACTACACCAGATGGAAACCCTGAAGTCTCTCTGTAAACGTCAATAGAGAAATTCTGAAAAACACTACAAATATATATATATCTGCATTAAGGAATGTCTCAGACTATATGTGTGTGTGCTGTTTTCTGCAAGCTTGAATTCTGTTGTGTATACCACCATAAATAGGTGGAAGTGACTTCTCTGTGATGAAATCTTCTAGAGGAGAGAATCCCCTTTCCCCATCTTGACTTTCTGGCTGCCATTTTTTAAAAAAAAGATCTCTCAGGATGTGGTTGTATATCATGGCTAGTCCGAGACATTTTGCTGCCTGAAGGGCAGCAGGAAATCCCATCACAGAACAAGCCTAGTTATTTTGACACCTGAGGAGGTAACTCTGCAAGCCTCTAGATCACTCTTGCAGGGAGGAGAGAGTAAATAAAACAACAAGTTGCTGCCTTTCTTATTCTTATTCTTGCTTTTGTTTTTTTTAAGAGTCAAACTGAACTAATCACTTACCACATTTTTAGAAGTAGGGCTCCCTTAAGTGCTTAAAAACATCTGCTTATCAGAAGATAAGATTTTATCCTGTTTGACATTGATCAACATTGGACGTTATCACACGGGGTCTAAAGCAGTGCCATCCCCGGCGCATTGCGGCATCATTCCGGATCCTTTGCCTCTGTGTTCACACGACATCGCAGCAAACCCCGCCCCATCTAGTGCCATCCCCAGTGCATTGCGGCATCATCCCTGTTCTTTTCAATTCCTTTTTGAAAAAGGA